AAAAAAAAAAAAAAAAAAAAAAAGGAAAAAAAATCAAGACAATGTTCTTTAGAAAGCAACTGCACATGTCTCCCCACAGCATGACACAAGCAGGTCAGGTGCCATAGTCCACAGGAAGGGAGAAGACTAAAGGGACTCCCAGCAGCAGCACAGGATTTCCCCYGGTTTACCTTGCCCAGCAGGTCGCCAGCATGAAGCCTACTAAAAACCCCAAGAAAATAAAACCTTCCCAAAGCTGCCAAGCTGTCAGAGCAGCCCACCTCCCCCCAGGAAAGATCCATGCCAKCCTAAAACACCAAATGCCACTCTCCATGCCATGGTGAAACACATCCCGTCCCTCCAGGGCAGCGATGCTGAAGGAACAGAGCCCATTTCCTATCTGCTCCTATCTACCCCAACAGACACACCACCAGAACCACAGCACAAGCCTGCCAGGACAGAATGCCATAGGTATTTTATGTCTTTAGGGGAAATTTTCTTTTTTTTTTGTCTTGTTTGAAGCCTGAGTGCTTCAGCGTTCACTGAACAGGAGAGACCAACCTCTGTTGCCATCTGTCAGCACTGCCCAGGCTTTTAGCACATACACAGATTAACTAAAAACCTGCAGTCCAGTGKTTTGCCAATGAAAAATAACCTACTTGCTGCTACAGCATTGTCACCAGTGCTCCTGCATGCTCCACACGCCACAGAACAGCAGGAGTTACCACAGTTAAAACTGGAATTTTCAAAGCTCCCCCTCTGCTCAGCTGCTCCTTTCCCAAAGATCTCAGAGCTGCCTCTGTTTTGGGGATTAAATTGATCAGAAGTGCACACCCAATGCAAGACCCATCCCAAGCAACACAAGCAGGATTCTCACTCCCAAGGACTCTTCACATGAAGGGCCTGCAAAATTCCCAGGGTAGCAGCCTGCCTTTTTGGGGGGATTTCAGGCCGTTTCAGTGGAGTTTCAGAGGTGTGGAAGGCAGACTGTCAAATGTGCCAGCAGAGCTTCAAATACCTACTACAGTGCTCTAGTACCTGCCATCTCTGCTTGCTGCATTTCCCAACAGAAATGGGAACTGTGGATAACAATTCACACCTCCAGTTACTCAGAAGGGCATCAGTGAGAGTGGGTGGACAGCAGGGGGAGGTGCCCCGAGCCTCACAGCACCTCTCGAGTTTGGGATGACTGAAATATGCTATGAGAGAAAAAGCAGATCAAGGAACAAATGGGCAGTTTACAATAAAACTCATTTCTCCACRTATTCTACCCTCAATGGTGAACTCCTCTGACATATTCCCAGCTCCTGCTGACTTGATCCTCCTCCATCTCGCAGTGAGAGCTCACTCCACCTCCTCGGCACCCAGCTGGCTGCATGTGGGAAGCTGCACGGCTAAGCAGAATTGAGCAACTAGGATAAGAAAAAAGGGATTCATTCCTCAGGCAGGCCAGCATGCTTCAGGAGACATCCCACTGGATAGGGCTTGGCAGCAGAACACCCATGGTGAGACTGAGCAGTCCAAGGAAATCAGAAGGATGTGATCAAAGGGAGGGAAGGGTTTTCCTTAGCTATAACAACACCATGAGCCACAAGTGTGGTCACTCAAATGCAAAAGCCTGATCACCCAAATGCATCTTTGTAAGTATCAGTTACTTTGAAAGCACACAAAGCCCCCTCCTCTGCATCAGTAGAGCTTTGAAAATTCCAGCTGAAAGGATTCTCAGATTCAACATTATTCCTTAGAGCTCCCATACACAGAAAGTTTAAATTCCAGCCAGATATTAAAAATTCAAAGCATGTAAAATCTTCCCAATGTTGCCAACAGAAAGACATTTGAAAGTTCAGTCACTACCTTGTTCCTTTTATAAAATTAGAAGATGAGAGCCTTGCCTCATTTCACCCATCTCTGTCATTCTTCCCAGCACATTAAAAAACACTTCAGCCTATCAATTAAAAAAAAAAAAATCTACAACACACTGACTATTTTCAGGAGCATAATGAGTTAAACTGTACAATCAGAAATATCTTTTGTTAAGTCAACGATGAAGATCTGATCCTTCAACAGCAGCACTGCTACAGAAGAGTTACAACAAAAGGAACTTCAAGGTCAAATTGTTAATGAGGCAGAGAGGAGGGACAAGTGAGATACAGCTCTCCGCCAACCTCGGCCCACATTTCCCAAGAGCCATGGCTAACTTTCAGAACTGGAAATTCTTCTTCTAGTTCCACACATGACGTTTGCAATGATCAACAGCCTAAAAGRGAAGAAAAAGCTGATATTAGTGGAAAAAGGCCAGTTTGCAAACAAGCAATTCAACACCTTATCCTGAGCCAAGATCTTGGGAGCAAATCYGTTTTTCTTGTAATAAGTGATTTCAAAGAGGACTAGAATAAATAACATCCTCATCCCCACCAGCTTTTCTTCTTTAGGAAAAAAGGCTGATGACCCTTAGCCATTAAGGCCTGGCAGAAAAAGCAATACTGGAAGCCCATTTTTAGAGTCTGATGAGAGATCAGTTGGCTGCAGGATCACTGACTAAATATAAAGCTGCCACTATACCGTACTATAGATTCTGAAATACTAGCAAACAGGTGGAGGACACAAAGAGAATAGGAAAGTCAATTTTGAGAAAGTAAGAGCTGTGAAACATCCCCTAATCAAACTAGTACCATTTATCTTTTTTTTTAAAGTGGGTGAATTCCGGTTCAAAGTGTGGTAGAAGCCAAATGTGGCTCCTAAGGAGCTACCAAAGATCAACATGAAAGTGGAGGCACAAGCCTGCTTTACGTACGTTGCACTGAGTAGCAGTGTCCATRTTCTTGCACCAGTAGCCTGGACCCCAGACACAGGCATCGTTCCCCAGGAGAGGCTCTTTAGCTGACTCACAGACTCCGAGTTTCTGGGGAAAGAGCAGCAGCACAGTCAGCACCTTTCTAATTGCACCAAGAGATGCCAAGTGCAGCCTAATGTCTGAGCTTCCACCTGAGTGAGCGTGGCAGCTCCACTGCAGCAGCTGCAGCTCTCACTGAGCTCACACTGCAGCTGAACCAGCAGACATCAAGCTGTAACCTGACCCGGGGGAATTGAGTTACTCCTCTGGATCAAGTTTTGAAACAGATCTTCTAGAGAGGGGCCTTTCTCAAGAAATGTCACTCTACCTCCCACCACATTCAGGGCACACCACACCCTGCTGCTATCCTCAGTAGAGGATAACCACTGGCAGCTTTCTCCTGCCAGCTGTCCATCCAGGAAGGCCCAGGCCTTGCACAAGAGGCTTGTTCCAAGCATTCAGCATTCTGATTTTGATTCCAGCAGTTTCTGCATGCTGGGCACTGACAGGCACACAGGGCATAGGCAGGGCTGTATCAGAGCCTGCACTCCATGTAACCAAATGCAATACTCACAGTGCAAACAAAAGTGGGATCCATCACCTCTGCCAAGAGTTGCACAACCACGGGTTCATACTGTTCCACAAACTGCACACACTGTAACAAAACACAGGGTGAGAGATTCTCCTGTTAGAGCCTCTGGAAGCAGAGGAATGTGTGCTACCCCAAACACCCCAACCACACACTTGCAAAGGATAAAGCAGAGGCTTGAGCTCTGCAGATGGAAGAGGAGTCAGGCACTAATCACACAACCACAWCACTGTTTTTGTAGCTCATACCTGCCTGCAGCTGTGTGCAGGCAGGCTATGAGGAGATAAGGGGTCACAAGGAAAAGAACCAAACGGGACAGGCTTTGGGAAAAGAACCAAGCAGGTGAAGCTTTGACTGCAAAGCTTCATCTCTGATGGTGGAAATCACTCCTGTGTCAAGAGGAAAGCACACAGAACCAGCTGGAGACAAACATCCTGAGCAGGACAGCAGCAAGGACTCCTAAGCACTTGTACTGAGTTATTCCCTCAGAGCTGGCAGCAGCAGCAACACTTCCTCCAGGAACAGCCTCTCTCCCTCTAGTGGTGAGGCCGGCTCAGGAAGATGCTGTTCCTCTCAGCAGAAACCAACGGTGCCAATTAATAAAACAACCACAGCTATTAAACAGCCTCACAGCAGAAAGAGCTGTTCCACAGCTGCTTTAAGCCTCTATATTCTATCCCCAGTAAATTTACAAGCAGTTGCCACTTACTGACACTCAGCAGYCACCTAATAAGATTTCCAGACTAATCTTGTCTAGCAGTGGTCTAACAGGTGTGTCCCACTGGAATTATACCAGCCTACTTCCAATTACTTAATTAATCCCCTGAACAGGATCAACATTGAGGAAAAAAAAACAAAAAAACGAAAACTTTCAGCTGCTCCCACCCACTGCTCTCAGAGGATTTCGAGACAAACCTCTCCTGACTGCAAATTAGTACATCAATCCAGCCAGTCAATCCAGGTCCTTAAAAGCAGACATCTATTGACAGGACAGCCAACTCCCAAGGATGGGAATTGAGCAAACCTAATCCCCCTGCACCCCAAACTCCTCTCAGCCTCTAGCAGAGAAGACTCTTAAAAAAAAAAAAAAAACCAACCAAACAAGAGATGCTGCTCTCCAGTTTTCCCAAATACTCTGCGAAGTGTCCATGCCTGTGGCAGAAGGGCTGGAATTAGAGAGTCTTTAATGTCCCTTCCAACTCAAACCACTCCAGGATTCTATGTTTCATCCTTCTGTTCATCTCCATRTGTCTTGCCCTGACTGGAAGGCAGGCCCTCACACAGCAAGGTCTGCAAGATCATTCAGCTGCCTCAGATCAAGCCCTTTCCCTTTTTTTCTTTACTGCACATGAGAAGCTGCTATGCTTTGGTGCTAATTAATAAAGGGAAAAACCTGGGAAGGATCAGGTTGCTGGACACAAACCAGTCCCAGCTGCACCTGTGGACAGTTTGTCTCCAGCCAGAGACAAGGCATTTGGCCAAACACAGAGACCTCTGTTAGGAGTACCTGGACATTTATAGCAGAAGCAGAGACACTTGAGAGATGGACCTAAAATTAGCATGTAGACACAGTATCAGGTGAAACACTCAGAAAATGAGGTTAAGCACAATTATCACTGTTAGGACCTACATAACCCAACAAATCAACAAGGACAGCTCCCAACCACCAACAAGATCTTGGCTTTTTWGTCTGCCTCCTGCACGAACACCTCACCTCATCACTGACAGACTCTGGCAGGAAGTGACAGACTTTTTCCAGTAAAGCTTCAATTTCAGCTGTCGTGGCATTCTTCTCTAGCTCYTTGTCTGCATACGCCACCACCATCTTGCAGATATCACAGAAGCCACCTGCAGGTTTCACTACAACTGCGAAGGAAAATAAAAAACAAACAGTACATCAGTGCTTGGGTAGCTCTATCAGCAAGGTGAACAAGCTCGTTTTGAACACCACAGACTCTTCATCTCATCACCCACCTGGTTGCTGGGGCAGCTTGCCAGCTGCACAGCATTTCAGCATGGCACACACAGCCTCGGGACTGGTTGCCTCCAGGAGCATGTCAATCACAGCCTGGCCATAGACCTCGATGAAATCCTTGCACTGGTCCTTGACGCTTCCTGGGAAGAGGCGGCACACCACCTCCATCTCGTGCACAATCTCCTCCTGAAGCACAGGGRASAASGTGKGAATGAGGGACAGAAGYTTRACTCAGTTCATAACCATGGTATYCTATTCTGCTGTTGTGAAAACAGGYAATGAAATTAACTTTCCTTGCCCCTCCAGTACAGCCCCATTTCACCAACAGCACAGGARGGGGTACAATGYCCACYACTCACACACCTCTGTCTTGTTGCTTTCCAAGAGGCCAGTCACTTCYTTCACCATGGTCTCACAGATTTCACACAAGGAAAAAGTCTTCTCTTGAACTGAAACCTTCTGAGCACACAGAAGAAATAAACAATAAATCAGCATTGGGCCACATCTGACAGGGACAATTCCTGGCAGCATTTACCCAGCTGCTCAGTTGGGACTGCACAGGTCACACAGAACCCAAAACCAGCCTCAAAGGTCTCAGTAAAAAAACCTTCCTGAATAAACAGACATTTTGTATGACTAATTTTAAGACTACAACCCTCAGGCTGTATAAAGGAGTTGAATTTAGCATACACAGAAAAATAAGCCATCCCACAGAAACAGAGGTGAAGGGAAATACACAGTGGTTTTAAAAATGCATTATTGGAGGACAAAGCTTCCTAGAATTAAGAGCACYCTCCTGTTGGAAAAGAAGCCAAGGTGCTTTTTCAAACTCAGAGCTTCAGCATTCTGACTCTAATTCCTCATCTGAACATGCAGAATGCTTGCCCCATTTTTAAAAYGGATCAAAGCATTACTCCAAACAAAGAGCAAAACACAGAGAATTAACATTTAAAGGTGTCATCAGAACTGCTGGAACAAGAGTTCCCATTTCAATCCWGAAGCATCACATTGTAGCTTTGGTTCAGTGTAGGCTCTGCTGTTCAAACAGATCAATCAGCTTTCTTACTTCACAAATCAGCATCAGAAAGAAGAAAAGGCCAGGAATTTAAATTCAGGGAGAGTCAGATTATTCTGTGCATAAAAGCTCATCTCTTTCTGYTTCACCTAGTTTATTCCACTAAAGCAAAAAGGAAAGCAAAGTACAAAAAGCCCATCTTACCTCCACAACTTCCATTTTCACCTCATGAACCACCTGAGCTGGCACCAGACGCTGAAGTGGAACAGACTTCACAGAGGAACAGAACCCAACCATGGCACAAATGTCCTTKGGTTGCTGGAAAGAGATTTGTAAGTAATTTTTAAAAGTCTAGACGTCTCTACCCTTTTTACAGAGCCTGTCAGCAGGCATAGAGAACACAATTTTAAAATGCTCCAACACAACTAAAAGTTTTGTGACTATTTCTATTTCAAGTAYTGCCAAAGCATTTGGTAAGGTTATAGGCAGGACAACTATCAGATGAAATTTAGCAGCTCCTGTTAAAGAGGCAGAGGTTAAAAACCCCATTAAAAAAAAAAAAAATTCCCAGGAGCCACACTACGCAGGCTCTTCAAAAGGAATTGACTTAAGAGCTACCAACACCGAAACAAGCCACCAGCAGCATCACATCAGACCTGCATCCACAAAGCTRCACCCAGCTTCAAGTAATCACAGGAGAGGCCAATTATCCTGACTTCAGAGGTTACCCAAAAGCTGAAAGAAATGCCTAGAAGAAAGAACCTCTTTCCTCATCCACAAACTACCTTCTTTAAAACTGCCAGAAATATCACATTCTGCAAACAAAAACAGCTTCTCAGATTACTGAACACAGCCTACGAGAAACAGAAGTTGAGCTGGTTAAAACCCAAGCCTAACCATTTGTRTTGAACTTCCAGCATTTTTCTCAGTCAGAGAAAACAGCAAACAAAGTCTTCAAAAAGGCTTTCTAAATCTTTCTCAAAGAAATATACTCTTCRTGCATTTCTTTTTTGAAACATACATAACTAAATGCACCGAGGCAAACTGCTCTAAGGATACCCAAAGTGAGAAAGGCTGTACGAGAGTGAGACAGAAAACTTGAATTTTCCCACCTAAAATCTACTTAAGCTAGAAAAACACACCCTTGGTCCAATAGGTAATTAGGAGAGCCCACTTCACCCTGTCACAAGCTTCCTACAGCAGAGGTTTATCCCAGAGTTAATACAYCATGCCACAATCTCATGCACAGGCAAAAGCAGCACCTCAAAGACACTATGCTGCTTCAGACTTCTCCAGGCAGCACCTTTAAGTCAAGCCCTTTGGTTCATGCATTGTAAGAAGCAATTCCAGATATTAATGTTACAGCAAAATCCACATACACACAATTTGTTCTCTCAGAGAGAGATGACAGACACAAGGTCTCACAGGACAGGTTAAATTAAAAGCCCAAATTGCTCTAAGAAGCCTGAAGGCCTCCCACATGTTTTCARGTCATATACTTCAAACATCTGTACCATTGTCCTAGATGTAAAGGTTAACCTAGGAAAGACCAAAGGAGAGCTTTGATCAAGCCCTGTTGAGCCCAGACTTCAAACCAGCAGCTGGCAGGAGTCACTGGCATTTTCCACATCTATCCTTCTTCTGTAAGAGGGAGGATATTTTCTGCTCTACTGGCCAAAGCATAATCAAGCTGAAATCTTAACAGCACAAAGTGCTATCTGGAGCTGAAGTTGGACTGATGCACTGGAGGAAGCCTGTAGCCACTCTCTATGTTTTAATGACATAAATATCCCTTGTATCTGTCAGCACTGAGTACACTCACACCATGTACACAGCTAAGAGAGCAAGAAGTGAACTACAGGCCCTTTGAGAGCAAAGGGTGAACTACAAGCAGGCTATCACCACAGGCAAGTTGCTCACCTACCTGATCCTTCTGTTGACAGGGGAGATTGCAGACARAAGAAGAAAGGAGAAATTGAAGATAACAGTTAAGAGAAAAAACACATCAAGCACTTAGAACTGCATATATTCTTTCCACTGAGRTAATGGAATATGACACAGTCCGCACCCCAAAGATCTTCAGCATTGCTACAGCAACTCACATTTAATTGCACAGTGCTAACCAGCATTATTCATTTGCAGTTATTAAGGCATCCTGGGCAAGACTACCTCCAAAGAGTCTGGACAAYGCTCACATGCATATAAGGTGTAGTCATATTCCAATTCCAGGTATTAACAACATGCTGCATTGCAATGCTTAAAACGAGAAACTAAGTGCTGTTGGTACAAAGACTGACTTCCCCCCAAAATGTTTAAGAAACAAGTTGACCTTCTAAGTAGGCTTTAGCAATTGGAAACAAAAAAAAAAAAAAGCCACTGTGTTGCCAAATTCAGGTTCAAGTCGGCCACATATTCTACTCAGAAATTCATCAGTAATTTGTTATGTCACCTGTGGCATATGGGGACTGACTGCATTCTCTAGGGAAAGGCTTGGCCATTTGTTTTTAAACACCCTGAGCTCTCTGCAGCTATGCAGAGGTGGACAGAGGTAGGTGTATGTTGCTCCAAAAGACCAGAGCTGGTGCAGTACCACTCACTTTCCATGGCTACTGTCAAGAGCCCAGAGRGAAGGTGCCTTGAGACAGCAATTCTAGCAGGATGTTTAGTCTTGCTTCCGAGAATCACCTTATCTCTAACATTTAAGCCAATTTTGCAATACKGTGACAAAGACAATGCTAATATCCTTAACACAGTATTTGGTGRGGAGGGGAGAAGTGGARTAAGTACRAGACTGAGATGAAGGAATATAAAGRAAYGTGTGTCTTCCACATTTCAAAGGATTTAAGTGCCTTYTGCACTGCAGAGKTGGTTATCAAAYGGAAGGAAAGGGCTAAGGAAAGCATTCTGAAACAGAAATTACTACCCCATCAAACACCAAGTTCAAAGCATTAACACCAAGACTTACAAAGCAAGGGCTCTCCCTGAAGTTTTACTGCGGTATATGTTTCCTGTTTACAAAGAAATTAGCTAAACAAGGCAGAAAAACAAACTGAGAGCAAACAGTTCTGCTGATCTTACCATGTGCATCATCATCTGGATGGCCAAGTCAGAATATTCAGAGACATAGGTCTTGCACTGCAGGAAGTGGGAAAAGAAAGTCTCGTGATTATCAAACCACTCGTGCTGTAGAGTTCACTACAATTTTCTAATACATCTCAAGGTATTAATTTACCTGCTCTACTTTGTAACAACAGGTCTTTCAGAGCTTGCCCCAAATACAAGATGGCATTTCAGGTTACACAACTGCTGCACCGATAAGTGCTTAACCTTTTCCCTTCCTCTCAGGACAAAAAGCCATTGATATGGCCAGTACCCAGCCAGACCATTTTTGTGAAAAAGGCCTTTAAGRGCTAGAAGCAATCTGGAATTCTTTCTTCTCTTCCCAAGTCCCAAACATCCCAATCAACTTTCCTGACCATGAAGTTTACTATTTCAGTGTTGTCAAGCTGTGTAGCCTATCTTAAATGCAACCCAGTTTTCCTTCACGTTATTAAACAGARAATACAATCAGGGGATTAAGGGACTAAGCAAACTATTTTCTATTTGCTTACAGGAACAACTTTTTTCAACAAAAAGGAGAGTTTACCATATCAGACATCCCAGGTCCCAAACGGTCACATTCCTCCTTGGCATGAGCAACCAAAGACTTGACAAAAGACGAGTTTGTCTTCACAGCTTCCTGAACATCAGTGACCAGCTGAATGCAATCTTGGCACACATCTCCACTAGTCTGTACAAAGAGTGAAAGGAAACTGAAGTTGACATAACTTCACATGACATGTTTTAGAAGCTTCTGCTATTACCAAGTTTTACAAGCCATTTTGAGCTATATACACAAACCTTAGTAAATACCCTGTAGAATACTTTGAAGCCTGAGCTAGTAGGGAAACAAGCTACTGCTGGTCTGTGCACCAACCACTAGATGGAGATTAGGTACCTACTTGGCTACAAAACCACGATAAGAGTTAAGACACCCAATCTTCAAAATCTCCTGGTTTTGTTACAGACCACACTGGAGAGATTTAGAAATCTGGCACAATCTTACCTGCTCCACCCACAGCAGCTTGCTCTCTACCCACTCACTGCTCAACTCCCCCAGCCTAGCTTGCTGTCAGCACTTAGCCTCTGCACCCAAGTTCATTGCCTCATCTACTCCCCTTTGATAACTGTTTGTTCTTTTCCAGTTCATCTGTCACATTCAGAGACAAATGCTTCCCTCGAGGGGCACAGCCAGCAGGTTTCTACGAGTGTGGGAAGAGCTTTGAACACTGGTGCCAAACTTGCTCTCAAGAAATCGTTTCCAACAAGACCTGCTTGATTACCACAGTCCTGGATAGTAACAGCACAGCACAAGACCTGACTTTACAGGCTGTAGAACGTAATCCAAGATYATACACACAGCCCACACTAGAACAGCCCTGCTCCCTTACCTTAGGCTTCTGCTTGGGCTTGTCCTGAGGGTAAAGGAGAAGAGGCACGTTAGCCATGAAAGGGGACGCCAGTTCGGAGAAATCCAGCTCTGGGATCTTATTGGTCTGGAGCTGTTTCTGGAGCTTCATTGCTGCAAGGTGCTTCTGAAGGGACTGGCACAGRGCAAGGGCACTGCACACAACCTCAGGTTTATCCTAGGGGAGACAAGATACAAAGCTCCAAACTGATGCCACTTTTGAAGTTCAGAGTAGACACTCATTCAGCAGACAGGGAAAATATTTCACAGCAAGGAAGCAGCCCTCCCATTCATGCTACCAGTGATCCACACAGGATTGAAGGATCATGTGCACAATCTCAAGCAGAAGAGAAATTCAGGCATCAACAAGCACATAATTTTTAACACCAAGAGTTGGAATTTGTTATCTACTTACCAGCTCTTCCTTGATCATATCCATGAKAACTGGTAGGTAGGAATCCACGATCTCTTTGCACTCAGAGACCAGGCCCGGGTCAGGAAGAAACTCGCATGTCTTTTCCAAGTAAGAGCGGATCTCATCCTATGAAAGATGAGGTGAGAAGACAGATTATCTCTCTCTCTCTCACAATTTGTTCCTTACATTCCCTAAATGCAGAATATAAAGCCTGAAACAAGCTCCATGGACTCAGGGAGGTCCAGGTAGCAGCAAGCAAAACAAGAATGTTTTACCCTATAGACCTATTTTCCCCAGTTCYGGACCTTTGATGAGACCCTGCTGAAGTGAAAAGATGCAATACTGATTGTAAGGTCTGCACACCCCAGCCCTGACAAAACGGAACATTTACATTTAAGAGAAGAAAGTGAAATTTTGGACTCATGGGACAGTGACTTGTTTATACAAAATACTCACAGGTTGACAAAAGAAAAAGGGAAGCAGTGCCCACCAACCAAAACAAAGGTCACTTGGTGTAACAGCCCACTCCCAGAAACTGCAGTGCCACTCCTTTTAAGACTGATGCCCCACTGGCACAATAACMATTTTTTTAAGAATCTACAGTCAATCAGGGATGTGTTAAGGGATGGGTGGCTCCAGAATTTGCTAATTTCTAAAGCAGTAGAGGCTGTTTAAAAGACTTTCACCATGCACTTTAGGTCCCTTTCAACATCTGCTGCTTGTGTTAGGAAACCAACACAGACCACTCTTCTACCTCCTCAGCGTAAGATCTTAAATCCAAATAGTCCTTTGGGGTGAGGAGAAAAGAAGCTCTGCTTACCTCAGTGCCATTATCCTTCAAAACCTTGCCAGCCACGGTCACAAGCTCCTTACACAAGTCACAGGGAATACTGCTCTGGAGAGAGAAGCAGAGAGTTACTTGGACAAAGAATTAAATGCCTGTGAGAGCAGTGTGCAAACAACAACACAAAAGGAACAAACATTACATTTGGAATTAAGTTAAGGAAGAAAAACTGGTTGAGGGCAGGGCAGGAAGAGGTGTTTTTCAACAAAGAGTGAGGCTATTTCAAGCATGTCCAGCTCCAGCTTCTTCACTAAGCCAACACTGTATAAAGCAAGCTACTACCTGCTCATTTCACCTTGTTCCAAACTACGGCTACATCTAGTAAAGCAGTCCTCATATTTAGTGCAAATGCAACTTGAAAAGCTGCAATATATGTAACAGTTGCATTATGATTTACTGTCATGGCTTTCATAATTTAGCATATGCTGCATATTTTGAGGAATGTTAACCTTTGAGAAAGACCTAAAGAAAAACRCAGCCTTTTTGTAATAATTGTTGAAGTTCAGCAAAGACTCCTATGAATTAGGAGTCAGYAATAAAGAGGAACAAGTAAAATCCACTAGCTCCATTCCATACATTGCTGGGTGATTGTGCAACAGGTCACGGGAGAAGTCAGCAGACAAGTTATGCAAGGCAGAGCAGTGAAATGCAACCTTTATCTGGCACCCAAATTAAGGCACGGCAACCACAGCCAAGTTGGATATAGCACTTAACTCCAGTGAGAGACTTGAGAACTCTTCCTCAGCATATGGAAAGCAGCCCACCTAAAGCCCAGGTGGGTCTGGAAGGTCTCAGAGGTTGATCCTTACCACAGCAGGTTTATTCCAGACATTCTGCTGGCAGTGTTTCACYGCCCCGCACTGCGATGCCGTGCGAATGCTCTGACACCACACCTCCGGCCCCTTCACACACTCCTTCTGCCACAGCACAGGGCTGGCCACAGCTGCCACAAAGAGAAAAAACACAAGCAACTTTTCACGCTGCATGCTTGAATGAGTCCCACTCCAAAGTGAGCAGGTTCACACCATACAATATAACCCACCACCTCTCCAGTTTATTGATGTTTTTAAGCACATTTCAATCCAGCAATTTTTGACCTGTCCCAAACACAGGTTATAGAGTCAAAGAAGGAAAACTAGAAAAGCCGTAACAGTTGAAATTTCCTCATGCCCAAGTCTCAGCACTTCAGCAGTCCATTGCCCTGTAATCCACCTTTTATTTAAAAAAAAATTTCCAAAATACAAAACCTCACTTTGCTCAGCACACAAGAACTATCAGATTACGTGAAACAGAAAAACTGCTGATTACAGAAATCTACCCTTCAGAGAGCTGATTCCCAAATCTACCAGCTCCCTGTTCTCTTGTAACATCATTCAATTCTGAACCAGCCTGTAATTGCTGTCTGCATTCCTCCTCCCACATGAACTATCCTGTTCTCACACAGCAACTGAGAGTGATGGAAGAAATTAGATTACAAGCCACAACAATGTACACATTGCATGGAAGACTTCACAGCAGGTACTGACCAAAACACTGACCATAAACAGAAAGCCTTAAGAATGTTCTTGAGGAAAGTTCCATCATACTTTTTAAACCCAGCAAATCTATTTAGACTTCCTTTTTTTCTCTYGGTCAGGTCTCTGAACTGTGTACAGAAAAATCTGTGGGATTGAAAAAATGTACCAGCCCTTTGTTGGACATTACGTCCCATCCCATGTGGAACTGCCTTGCTACCTGTAAAGTTTTCAAGCAAAATACAGTAAAATACCATTTCTGGACAGTCCTGGTAAAGAAATGTAAAATACCTGCATTATGAGTAATCAGTAGGACAAATGAATCAAATGCACATTTTCACTGACCTTCCAAGCTTCTTTTTTTAAATTGTGCTGTCTGGACTGGACACCCAACTTTTCCCAGGTTTCCAACCTATTTGTCAGTAAGCTCTGTCTCTTCAGGAGACCCTACACTGCACTAACCCTACACTACACTAACCAATCAAGAAACAACTCCTAGAATCCTGCAGCAGACAGGCTGCAAAGAAATCCACTATGGTCCAAGGCCACAAGGCACTGCTGCCAAAGGTTATAATAATAAAAAAAAAACCAACCCCAAAACAAAACATAAACCAAACCTATTCAAACCTATTAGCTGTACAGGTGTTGTTACCTTTACATCAGTGCGGTTTACACAACACAAAATCCTGTAAAATTGCACTGTGAGCCACGAGGCAGGAGTTAAGCTCTTTAATTCCTATGAAGCTTCTAGTAAGGTTACAACAAATGAACAATCACATTCCCATTTCTCACGTCTTGTTCCAGGCAATCAGAAGATCGATTTAAAGTTGAGTTACCAGTGCTTCTACAAGGTACATGGCCATCACTCATCAAACAGCCAGATAAACCCTGCTTTATAGGTGGAATTCGGCAGCTGTTGATTTATAAAGCCTGTTTACACTGGATTTCAGAGGAATGACCCATTTATTTTAAGAAGAACGTGCTTTGCACACTTAAWTTTTTACACAAGAGCTTGAAGCTTGCCACCCCCTCTCCCAGTAAAAAGTCTTCATTGCATATTATTCTTGAGCAGGACAGCACTCTGAGCACKACAGCACTGCCTGGGAGACTGTAAAAATAAGACTTCAAAGCTTCTAATAATGTATGGTTAGCAAAATATTTACAGCCTATTCTAAACTCCAGCATTATTGATCTGGAAGAACTGAGAACAGTTAATTTTCYAAGTCAGACTGGCCAGCCAAAGAGCTGTCAACTCTGGCAGGGTGACAATAAACAAGAATACAGTTGGTTGAGGGAAAGTTATTTTTCCCTTTCAGATACCRGCATTGAACAGTGGTAGGAAGAATCTGGAAGGCAGTGTCAAGCTCTGAARAAAGTCAATCAAGACCTGGACTTTTAAACAGTGAATTTAAGGGTTCCCAACTATTTACAAGTACAGCTTTTAACCTATGCCTTTACCAAAAGACAATTACTCTCCCTACACTGAAACATACTGTGAATTACAAAACTAAACTATACAGCTCCAAYCATTATTCCAAGCAGTTTCTCAAACTCTTGATTTAGGAGTGTGTTTAAAGGCCAAATGGAGGCATTCATGCTATAACTTCCACTGGTTTGATCAGGCTCTCAGTGAGCTTTCAGGTTTTGTTTAGTTTTTAGTTTTTAAGATCCTGTCACTGCATGACTTTTCAAATSTGTACCAGCTTCAGCACAATGCCTTGTTCCTTCTTCCTCGCAGCCTTAAGAACAGATTATTATTAAGTGCATTACAAAAATACTACACTTTGGATTCATTTTTACTCAACAGATTTCTTGGCTGTGTGACTTTCMCAAATTCCTGGTTGCACTCTGTATCAAACAGATGCTCACACAGAGTCACAAAGGCTCTGGCTTGTTCACAAGGAGGAAAAAAAAAGTTTTAAAATTAGATTGATTTGACCGTGTATTAACTACTCAATGCCTCTGGTTGTACTGATTCCCTGCATTACATTTCATCAGCTTGAAAAAGCAAAATTAGTATTTTCTCAGAAGGGGTGTGAACAGCCACATTTTGTTCAGATTCTGCTCCAAGCAGTGCCACTGGGCATGCAGCCACTTCAAACTTGAGAATAAGGACATCAATATTATCTGCCACCCTCTAGAGAGGACCAAGACAATCWCAGAAGACTCTGAGAACAGCAGGGACAGGGAGTCAGAAGAAATAAACTGTTCATAAGCCAGTGAACACTAAAAGCTAGTTCTAGGATGCAAGGAAGCACTCCAAACACTTCCCYACTGGCATTATTTAAAATCCTCATTCCTGCACAACATCAGAGCAAGATGAAATGCCACTATACCTACTGACTTTTCTGTCAAAAAACCAACAGGAGACCTGAACCAGCTACAGCACAAGAACAACACTTACCTACAGAAAACAGAAAAGGACGGAACATCTGTGCCCTTTCAGCTGCAAAGGACATTGGGGRAGYTCTTTCCTTCTCAGAAGACAACTCTAAATTTTATGTTTTCAGTACAGATCTTTCTGRTCAGACAGTGACTAAGCAAATTTGTTTGTTAGGGCCACACATGGTTGGCACATTTTAGAGCAGCTACAGAACCAGATGAAAAACAATGAAAGATGAAAAACACTAATCATRGCTTCTTTCCTGATGCCTTCCACAGCGACTCTGAACACAGTTCAACTTTTATTAGYTTGTTCTGTATTATGTGGAAGTACTTTTGTTTGAAATATTTTACCCAATATGAAAGGATGCACCATCATTGCCACAATGGCCATCCTCCCTTTCTGAACCCCCTCAGAAAAAGAGAAGCAAAGCTAAAAAACCCTTTGCATTAATTCAGATCTTGCAGATTCAATAAAGAATAGCTGAAAATCCTTTACTGTTCCCACCTTCTTTCTTTAGTTTGTCCTCCTGTTGAACTACGAAGCAGAATTTCCCCTATATATTAACTTATAATACAAAAGTAAATAAGCCAATGMTGTGAGTGCAGTCTCAGAACAAATAATTTTGACTTTTAACAGCTTTCTTGCCTCTTCCCTCCAAAAACCCTTTATTGCAAAAGAAGCAACACCTTAATATTYCCAGCACAGCGGCAACCCAAGAGAAAGCAAAGCAAAGCACCATCAGTTACTTTGCACAGCTCCCAATGCCTGATGGATAAACCCCAAGCGAATTACTTTCTTTGTTACCTCTGCTTCTCTTTACTTTCCACACTGCTCTTTATCTATGGTCATCCATTTTTTAACAGATTTCTCCTTTCTCTGTAGATCAGCTCTCAACAGTCACGTCATGCCCACCAAGACCTGCCCCCCCCATTTCCTGATGTTCTTACAAGCCATTATTTTTAGAGCATCAAACAAGTTTTTCTTTACTCATTCTCTTCACTGGKTTCTCCCTGCTTGAATTGCTTCAGATGTGGCTTCTTCAATTTAGGAAAAAACAGCCTTTGCTTTACCAAGTTGCTCCCAACAGACAGACAGAAACTTGAGTAGTAAAGGTGATGGACCCCTCAGAAAATACCAGTTTTYCCACTCAGCTCACAGAGCCATCCATGTGAAAACACAGTCAGTTCTTACCTCCTGTCCAGGAAACTAGAACCTAAAAGGAAGCTTATAATGTCTGGATTTCCATTCTGCAAGTACAACTACCGAAAAAATCATTAGGCTATTATCTTTCTTGAGAGAAAACTTGGCTTCCCTCAAGCATGTGTCTCGCTCTTCTTCCAGGGAGAGTCACTCAATTTTTTCCCCTAGATTTTCAGAAAACCACCCCAAGAAATCCCCTCCAAAGCCATACTGAAGCTACAAATGAGACTGAAAAGTTAACAACTTGTGTAAGAKTCAGTGAACAGGGATTCTGAGGTGCCAAACCAAATTCCCTAAAAAAGGATGAACCAGAAAACTACCATCCAGAACACAAAGAAATTCAACGTGAAGACTCCAGCTTCCTTCAAACCCAACTGCTAGAAAAACCTTGGTGCGAACAACATGGTTACAGACAAATTAACCTGTAATTTGGAAAAAAAAATAACAAAACAGGGAAGTGCTGAGCTGCTGCTCACCTGAATGGATTGAAGTAAAATGTGAAGATAATTTAAGGTGCTGTCAAGAATTATGCCTTTACAACAGTTTAGCTTGTCCGAGTGTATTAACATATTAATCAGGAGGGATGTTTTTCCTAGGCTGTCTTACTTGCAATACTAAAATAAATTTAAAAAATATAATTATCTCCCAGAGACACCAYAGACCAAGTGAATGCATCAGCCTCYACCATCTGTGCTCTGTTAGTTACTGACTTTTCTCCACGACTTTTGAGACTTGCAAAAGCAAAGTGTGCTTAAGTTAAAGAAGCCAAGAGGGATCAACTTCTTTTCACCAAACCTTACAAAGTGGCAACAAGTTTAGGGGTGACCTCAGTCTGAATTTATCTGAACGGCTCAATGCTCCACAGCCTCTCTGGTGAGTTAGTGAGTAAAACTTCAGAAAT